GCTGCAATCAAACATGTCCGACAAGGTGATCGTCAGGTGTGAAATAAAGAAGAAGAGAAAAGCTGGGGTTCGTTTAACAGCAGCTTACGATTAGGGAACTTTGCAAACGTTTCCCCCTCCCTTCTGCTAACAGTAACAAGCCCAGCAAAGGGTATTTTTTACACGTGAAAAGCGGAAGTTCAATAGTTTTATTTCTCTTTTCACAAGCCGGTTCCTGCCTTTCAGCGGGTGGTTTGAGACTTCAGCCATCTCATGACTGTTTGTTTAGTCATAGCATATGAACATTGCCATCTTGTGGTTATTCTTAAGATGCCAAATTACATTTATTTTCACATTTATGGCATGGAAAAGCATCAAGTTATAAAGTTAGAAACAAATTGTTTTTAAATACAATAAACATTCTACTGCCTAAAATGCAATAATATAGTACTTGATCATTTGCAGCTAAAATGATCAACATGTGAAAAGCTCAGCTGATCAGTTAATTACTTTTTTATCAATAACTATAGTAAAACATGTTTAATAAGAGATTTTTTTTACAGAATTTGAACCGGGTTAAACTAAAACTGCCACTTGAGTTCAACATTTTTATAGACTGAAATGGGGTTTTTTATCTTTAATGTAAAATGTAAATTTTTTGTACATGTTTGACTTAATTAGTGCTCTGAGGAGAGTCTGTAGGCTCCAGTTAATGATTAATTGATTACTTAATTATTCGATTAATATTTCAATAATCCATTCATCTAATGAATCGTTTCAGCAATATAAGTTTCACATTTACAATTAATTAACCAAAGTAAATAAAATCACAAATAAAGTGTGAGAGTCTAGCAATTTGATTCGGTTCTGGTTTTTAGGGTGATAATTCAATTCAGAAACTATTTTCAATTCTGAAACTGTTTACACAAATAGAACATTTGTTTAAAACAATACATGTTTTCCAGAAGTGATCCGCGCCACTGTACTGCCACCCTGGTAAGCAGGAGGGGGTACAAAGCATAGATAAACCATGGCTTCGAGAAAAATAAAAAGAAAGCAGAGTACTCAAAAACTATAATTGAGTATTGTTTGTAATATACTTATGCTGTTTGTAAATTAGATAGTGCTAATTCTAAGCTTGTGGCTGGTTTATTGTCGTCATAGCAACTCCAGTTAGTTACAGATTCCTACCAAGATGGCTGTCAGCTACAAAGTTTCCGGAAGTGTGACGTCACATGAGAGCTATGTATTCTATAAAGTTCCAATCTGTGTCAAATTACATCAGTTTACATTTAAGCAAAAACAGGTTCATGCATAAAATTCTGTAACTTAAATTACCCGTATTAGGTTAGCTTAGCTGTCTGACTTTTACTTTAAAAAAATATCAAAGAATTATTCAAAATATAATTTTACAAAATAAATGAAGCATCTTAAAATGATCCGGAATTCCCAGGATGAGGTCTGTTGCAATAACAAATTTTGCTGGGCGATAAATTATCACGGAAGTTATTGCGATAAATGATTATTATTTTGAGACCATTTTCAAGTAATATACAGAATGGCATAATAATGCAAGTACAGTCTCTCAAATATCAATAACCTTTAAATTCTACTGAACATTTAACACTGAACTGGAAAACATTTTAAATATTCAAAATACATAAAGCAACAGAAATAAATAAAATGAATCATGAAGTCTGTGTAAACAGAATTATCCTTGGGGAAAATAAGGGCTAGCTGAGACCAAAACACCATACAGAAGACTTTTGTCATCCAGTTTTTAGTAGAAAAAGAGAAAAGAAAAAGTAAATAGTCATGCAAATGGAAATTATTGAATTTGTTTTAATTTACCATGTGATTAATTGATTTATTGCAGAAGGCATGCCAAGACTAGGAATTGTGATTCTCTTTAGAATCGATTTTTTTTCTGCACCTCTATTTGAAACATTACCACCCCTAGCAACTTGCAAAAGAAACAGCTGTAGTCTTTCCCATCTCTTACAAGGCTTCCCTGAAAGCATTTGTGGAACTGGAGTGCTGCTTTCTACATGGGATAAAAGCCCAGTTCTTCTTTTTGTGGAGTTGAATCAATATCAAGGCCCATTAAGGCGGGTGGGTACATCTTCAGCAAGAAGAGGTGTCTGATGTCTGAGGAGCCCTTCGCCATGAAAAAGAGGAGAACGGCAGCTCTTCGCTGCTGCTGTCCTTGGTCATCAGAACGAGCCTGAGCAGCTCAGACTGCTGCCAAAGACAAAACGGTGCCAGGATAAGGAGGATACCGGGAACTGCTCTGGCCTCCACACACACACTCCACTGGTCCGAGGCTGTTTTCCTGCAAACCGAAAGCTATCAAAGCAGAAAGGAATGGGGCGAAGGAGGGGCTGCTGTGTGGGCAGCCGTGTGGCAAGACGTTCCTAAAGCAAGGGCAAACGATTGAAACAAACAGGATGACTTCATGGTGGAGTATATTTGGAAAGCCTTGATAATTGTTTTCAGGGGACTGAAGTTTCCAATTATCCACCAGGCTCTGCCAGTGTTCCCACCATGGGAAGACTTCAGAGGGGGGGACGGAAGGGAGGGGTCGGTGGAGGGCCGGCGGGTCGGACTGCTGGTCCTCTCTCTAGTGGGACAGTAAAACTAACATTTCGTAACTCTCCTCCCTTCCCTCTGCGTCACGACTGCCTGCTCAGAAGTGAGCAACCCTGGCCAGCCAATGAAACACTGTTTGTCTGTCCCAGGATACAAGCATCTCAGCCCAAAAATGTAAACATCTGGCAAACATTTTGACTCCCCACAGATTAGGGTGGATGAACAGTAAGAAAAAAGCATTGCAGACATGCATTTGTAGAAAACACATAGCATTTACTCAGAGACGTGATCTGATCACATCTCTGAGTTTTCGTCAATATGTTCAGCCTGGAATGGTCTAGGAAAGAGTGACACACTGCGTCACCAGCAGCTCCAAGCAGGTTTTTATTTCTTGTTTTTAAGCTAAATAAAGCTGGAACTTTATACTTATAGTAATGGAAACTTTAACTTTTCCATATTTTCACGTTACAACCAGCAACATAAATGTGATTTTGTCCTAAATCAAGGCAACTCAAATCTCTTGCAAACTCGAAAAGGTCTTACAACATTTCATTCAACAAAAAGCAGATCTCCTGTATTTCCTGAAAACAAAAACATTCCCACAGCATGATTCAGCCTCTACCATGTTTTATGAAGAGGGATGGTGAGCTTAGGGAGATGCACAGTCCTAATTATTCCATCGATCTGTAACAATCTGATTTCTAGAGAACTCTGGATTCTCTCTGACTTCTTTGCTTAATGCCAAGTGGGTCTAGACTTGGCCCACTTACTTTCAACAAAATCAACAAATACTTTTTATGGGAATTAGAGTAAATGGGGCTGAATACGGAGCACTTTATATCTTAAAATCGTTAGAAATTAGGACACAATTACACACTACTGCGTCTCAGCTAGAATCCAACTGTAATTGCTAAGGCAGGGGAAGTTCATTTGAGCAACACGGTAATCCAAAGTGCTTTACATGATTAAAATATAAAAAACAAACATTATATAGTAGTGGTATAATAAAGGAAAGTCATGAAAATTTAGAATAAAGACTAAAACTAATCATGATTCAGTTATCAATGGAAGGCAACTCTGAACAAATTGGTTTTTAGTCTTGATTTAAATTAACTCAGGATTTCGGCTGTTTTGCAGTTTTCTGGAAGTTTGTTTCAGATGAAAGAAACATACAAACTGAATGCTGCTTCTCCATGTTTGGTTCTGGTTCTGGGGGTCCAGAGTTCACCAGAACCAGAAGACCTGAGTGGTCTGAAAGGTTGATACAACAGATCTCTCAAGATCTTGTTGGGACATTAGTAGGAGTGCACCAATAATCGGCCCCAACTGCCTTAATTTTCGGATATCGGTGATCAGCCAACACTTACATTTGTATCAATCTTACCCACAGATCGTATCTACACTGGAAAAGGTCTAAAAATCAACCACTCTGTCCTTTGACTCTGCAACAGGACTTGTTTGCATGTTTGCAGTCTATGATACTGTTTACAAATCAGTGACTTTCTTGCTATACATAGAAACATCTCAGACAAAAAAGTCAGTACTATCCAAAGTCATAATCGGCAGGTTAGGCTTATTAAAGATCGATAATCGGCGATAGGCCAGAAAACTGCAATTCTGGTCTATCCAGAAATGTTCTTCAGGAGGTAGAAGACTGATTTTGTAATTATCTTTATGTGTGGGTCAGTTCTGAATCCATCACTACGAGGTTTTGGATCTGATTACTAGTTTCTAGGTAACAGCATAAGGTGTGTGCTGACTCTTAGTTTCTCATTAGGTCCAAAAATTCAGTTTTTGTTCAGTTGAATAAAGTTAAGAGACATAACTTTGTTTTAATGCTCCAACACTTTCAGAAACTCCTTCATTTACACCCAACATCCCACAAAATGCTAAGCATTGTACCAATAATGATGAAAAGTTGAAGGGGAGTGAAGACTCTTGCAAGGCGCTGCCTCTGACCAGGTCAACACAACTGTATGCTGCTCATAACAAAACACTCCCTTCAAATAATGAGCAACTGAGAGACAAAACAACTGCTGTATTCTTCTGTGACTTGTGACTGCTATAAGAAGTGCACAGACTTTTCAGCCTGGTCTCAGTGTGGTCACATGCCAGCTGACTGACACAAAGGGGAGTCACTGTAATCTATGGAGTAGTGTGGGGAAAGACCTTCAGGGTGGTGTAGTCCTGCTAGTTATTAATAACATCTTTTGATTTCACCCACATTAATTTAACAGCACACAGAATTTTGTACTTGTAGCATTCAGTACAAAATAGAATGCTACAATGGTTAAGTCTTGATACCATATCAACCTTGAGACTTCACATGATATTCTTCACTAGATAATAAAATATGTACTAATCCAGATCACCTTCCCAGCAAACAGTCACACCAACATGGAAGATTGTATTTAAATCCTGTCTGTACTTACCTTGGAAGAAGATGTCATCACTGAAGCACAATCCGGGGCTTTCTACAGGTACTTCACATCATAAAACGTCCAAATACATAATGACTCCTTTTAGTGCGAGTCGGCAGGCTGTAACGGTGCTAAAGCTACATCATCGCTCTGGCAGCCGTCAGATTTTACCCTCCCGTTGCTGCTTTCGTGTGCTTTCCTGACACAAGGTCGCGGTTTTCTCCGACAGAGGCTGCTGATGCGTGGGGAATTCCTAGCAGTCACATTTTCCTGGGAAATAATTGGCCCGACAACAAAGTTTGGCAAAAGCCCTGCAAGTTCGCCTGTCAGCACCGAGGGGGCAGGACAGGTTCGGCGTTGAAATTAAGTTACTTTTTATTTTACATCATATCCCGCTTCTTTAAAAGTACGAAACAAAAAGGAGAAATTTTATGTCATTAACGAGAGATTAACATCAAACAGGCTGGACAATAAATGCGTTTTATAAAACGTTACTCACTCGCAGGTGTTCATTTGAAAACTGGTAGGCTCAAACGCGTAATTTTGCGGACGAAAGTGCCGTTTGCTTTGCTCGCCTGTACTCCACGGACTGATAAGAATTGACACAGAGAGAAACAACTGGTAATGTGCATCTTCCGGGAATGAATGTCCGATGTGGGATGAGGGTAATACACGATAATTCCTGAACGGGCGGGGTCCGTGGGGATTTTTTTCCTCGGAAAACATTAACGGGTGATGTTTGAACATATTCCGACTGCTGCTATGCTATGTCATGGATAAGATTTTAAAATAATAGTCATTTAAGAATTAAAAAACTTGTTCCCATACCGGGAGTCGAACCCGGGCCGCCTGGGTGAAAACCAGGAATCCTAACCGCTAGACCATATGGGACTTGTACATGTCAGACGACAGCTGGGGTTTTGGAAGATTACACCTGTAATTTTGAACTATTCAGAAGGGTCTACTACAAACAGCATACATGAACTTTACAAAAGAGAATGGGCACATTTTTACCACGTTTTAAAAATATTTTTAAAACAAGAATAAAAGTCTTCCATCTAACCCTAAAATATTTTGTAACAAAATCAGAATAGTTCAAATAAATTAAGTTTAATTATTCTGACTGATTTAAGCATTCAATGTGTTTCCTATATAGTTTTAGAAATAAATTAAGCTATGTTTATGTGCCTTATAACCACCGCGCTGTATTTCATTCTGATTGTCCTGTTCTATTTTGAAATTCAGATATTAATTTTGTCTCATCACTAATATTAATAGTTGAAAAACATTCTTCAATGCATTTTAAAACCATTAAGATTAGTTAAACGTAAACTTTACACCTTTTATTACAAAAAAGTACTTCGTAAGCCACTCATAATGACGTACAACCTAGTGGGCAACTACGATACATGGATACATGGATCCTAGCAGCATCTTGTGGTCTTTCACCGGTACTACATACAGAAACTAGAAACACTTTCCTGTTAAGACAGTTGATTAGACTGAGCACAAATTGTAAGTTAACAAAGATAAAATATTAACTAATGCAAATGAGGACCAGATACACTGTGAAGCTATAGTGGGTCGCTAATGCTTTTTGCTTCCCCAACAAAACGAAACAGGGTAGCAAACATATGACGTAATTCATGTGGAGCAATCCAACTGAAAAGATAGGGTTCCTCGACTGATTTAAAAATGCTCTAGTTAAATGCTCTAGTTAAAACAATAAGGAGTTTAATCTAGCTTCAGAAAAAAACATTATAATTCTACATATTGTAATTTATTTATACTACGTTGTTGTGATTTTGTTGCCATATAACATTAAAATGTAATCAAAAGCAACCTCCCCTCCGTGGCGTCAATGGTAACGTCACAGACGAAAGGCAGTCCAAGTATTTGTCAAACTAATAGCAAACGTTGGCTGCCCAGCTATCAGTTGAGGAAATATAACACCTTACAGAAGATCTCGCTATCTTTTGAGCTCTCTTGTTTGTTTGTTGAGGCCTTAGTTCTTCAGATTAGCACGATGTCAACTCCAGCACGACGACGTTTAATGAGAGACTTTAAACGGTAAGTTATAGGGGGGAACAGAAGTAGCTAACATTAGCATCCTGAAGCTAGGTTTTTTTTTATTTGTTTTTTTAGCATTAGCTCAAGTGACAAATACAAGGTAAACCACAAAATAGTCAGTAGTCAAACAGATCTGTAAATGTCAACTAAATGTATCTTATTGTTAGTGTTACTTGTTAGTAATTACAGTTTAGTTTAATGGGAAACTGTTGGTAACGTTTAACCAACAGGTCCGCGTCTACCGGCGTAAGCAAACCAGATTGTAGTTGTAACGTCTACGTTGTGTAATTCAGGACCGGTGATTGCTTTTGATGGTGTACGAGCCACAAATATAGCCTTTATTTTTTTTTAAAAAAGTGTACATGTTTCCCGGAGACTTGAACAGATGCGCGGATGTAGTTGAAGTCAGTGGCCATATGGTCCTTCAGCTAGAGGAAAGGTTGCTTCTGCCCTAACCCGGGCCGTGATAGATCATCGCTTAAGGTTGGGGATCAGCATCCATCTGCCTGAACACCTGCACTCTCTAAGCACAGCTATCTGCGGCACATAGTTAATCTACGTATGTTCCAGTTAGATTCCACTGACGACCACAGACTTAATGATCGGATCCAGTTTGGCTCCACAGTAGAAATCTCTGTTACATTGTTCTTTTACAGGCTTAACTAAGGAATGGAGTCTGTTTACCTTGAAGAATATTAAGTGAATGATATTATGCATAAGTTTCAATTGGATATTGTTGGATAACATTTCATTAATGTTATCCTTGTTCAATAAAAAATACTTTATTTATCCCAATAGAAAATTAAAAGTACCAACTCTTATTGTTCAATTATCTTCAAAGGATTCCCAGTAGCAGTCAAGTCTTGTATACTGAAGAGGCCTCTGACTGAAGACTGCACACTCCAACACTGAATAATCTGGACACTAGGCACTGCATTTCAATTACAAATGTGCACAAAGCTTTGTCAATATTTCGCAATTACGTTAAATACGAAACGCAATTAAAATCACATGTGAATACATCTGTTCACAGGATAAGTTATTATAAAATATGCTGCGCCATCCTCCAACTACTTTCTGTTGTCGTCTTCAGGGTTTGCTAGTGTTGTTTATCATGTGACTCATATAGTGCGAAAAAACTACTTCCATAGCAGTTTTGTGAAATAAACCAAATTGAATACAGCCAAAAAAAAAAAGAAAAGAAAGAAACATCATCCTATCACCGAAACCTTTTATGAAAAAAGTTTTTTTTTTTTTTTTGGCTTTGGCTTTTTTCCCGAAAGCAAATTTTTTT